ATATTTTTTCATTAATATTATTCCTGCCTACCGAATATTTAAAATTTTCAAAGAAAATTATGTGTACCAAACATTTTTAAAAATTCAGAAATTTTTATATATTACCCGTTCTTTCTAAATATATGGTAATTTTATCTCGAATTTTTTTAAATATTCAGTATTTCTTCATCATTTTTCCAGAATTTTTATCGGAAAATTAATTTTTTTTCCTGTGTTTCTACATACTTTTGCAAAATATCCGAAACACTTGCAAAAAAATTTGGTAATTTTTGTAGAAACCGAATTTTAAAAAATGGCACAAAGGAAAAGTATCGGGACGAGTCGCGTACTAGGTCGCTTTCTTTAAGACGTTTCGTCGTACTGCCAATATTAATGCAAAGCAGTCGAGTTTCGACGACGCCTCCAGGATAAAATAGCTCATTCAATTACGACAATTACTTGCACTATAATTAGTCGTTCGTAAAATGACACCTTCGGATGGTAATTAACCAGTCTTAGTATCTGGATACGAAGTGATCCAGTCGAAAATAAGAGAAGAAAATTATAGATGAAGTGAGTGATGAGAGAGAAGAGAGAAGAATTGTAGAAGTAAATTCTGGAACTTCCCAAATGAACCGAAACAACTTAATTTATAAGTGAAAAGGTCCAACTGAATGGAACAGGTCTAGTGGGAGAAAATAGTGGGAGAGGTGAAATTGGCCCAGTCAATAACCAGTGAATAATTAGGTTAAGACTTGGTCTTTTGGAGGGCAAACAAAAACCAGTCAATAATTAGGTTAAGACTTGGTCTTTTGTGCATGACACATCACCATCTATTAATTAATTAATAATAATATTAATATTAATTAATTTCTACTCTTTTGGGACTAAAATGAATCTTTTCAAATTCATATACCAAGATTTCCAACAATCCCCCACTTGAATTTAAAAGGTGATTTTTTTAGAAGTACGTCAAACGTTTCTAAGGTTGTGCATAAGCAAAGGTGTCTACGACTTGAACCTTTGCGTAGCAAGTAGGATTCTGATTCAACAAGAGTGACACTATTATCTTGAACTCTATCTCAGACATCAGACCCGCACACAACCTTTTCTTAAGGTGTATTCTAATAGCCCGTGCTTTAATGGCCCTGCACGTATATCCCGGTTTAGTGAAGGCTCTAGGAATCCTGCCTCGTAATTTCATAGGAACCGGCCTAAGTTCCACAGTCACATAGGTGAGTCTATCAATAGTACTCCTGTAGCCTAGGTACTCCCTCATACAGAGTATAGATCTCATTAAGAGTTTCTATTATCTCACCCTCTTATTACTTCAGGATTCATGCTTTACTTGCATGATCATCTCATATTACTCATAACTTATTATTACCCATTGAACCTATTTCTTGGGATCTCCAGTCATCTAGGTCGGGTTACCATAATGAGCAACTCATTTCTTTATAGGCATTAGTCCCATCCTTTTTGGATGTATTATGGACTTTCTCTCTAGCTAATCCTTTCGTCAAAGGATCTGCTAAATTTTCATCAGTGCGTATATGATCCACTCTTACAGATCCTTTAGAGATACAGTCTCTAACAGTGCTGTTCTTTCTTCTTATTTGACGTCTTTTACCGTTATAATAACGGTTCTCAATTTTTGCAATAACCGCGGTACTATCGCAGTGGATCAACACAGCTGGCATAGGTTTTTCCCATAAAGGGATCTCAGCTAGCAAGCATCTCAACCAACTTGCTTCTTCACAAGCTGTGGCTAGTGCTATCATCTCAGATTCCATTGTGGACTGAGCTAGAATAGTTTGTTTCTTTAATTTCCAAGATACAGCTCCTCCAACTATGCTAAATATATAGCCACTAATAGCTTTGGAATCATCTGACAAAGTATTCCAATCTGCATCAAGAGAGGACAAGGCTTCTTGAAGATTCATTGGATCTTCTTCTACATTATAAGCCGCATAGTCAGGCCCATAGTCTTTAGAGAATCTTACTCGTTTACTTCGTCGAAGTTCTGTTTCTATATTGTCGTTGCATTCTGTGCTTCTTATCACAAGAGTGTGACTCGATTGTGTGCCTCCACTATTTCTCAATTTGAAGGGAAATTTGTCTTCATAGAATTCAGCATCATTTGATTATATGATCACTTTTGCTATCAGGTTATAAAACCTATATGCTTTACTGTTTGTTGCATATCCAATGAAAACACATTCATATGCTCTACTAGCGAGTTTAACTCGCTTCGGATCCGGAATTCTGACATAAGCCAGAGAGCCCCAAGTTCTCCAATAAGACAAGTTTGTTTGTCTTTTCTTTAATATCTCGTAAGGAGAGATCTTACATTTTGACTTGGGGATTCTATTCAGGACATAGCAAACAGTCAATAAATTTTCCCCCCACCAGTGAGGTGCAGCACCAGAATTCATCATAATTGCAACGGCAAGTTCAGTAAGAGTTCTATTCTTTCTTTCTGCTTTACCATTCATTTTAGGAGAATATGGAGCAGTCGTTTCATGTATAATTCCATGTTCTTTATAAAAGTCCTTAAATAGACCAAAGTCATATTCAGTTCCCCTATCACTACGAAGTCTCTTGATCTTCTTACTAAGTTGATTCTCAATTTCGGTTACATACAACTTAAACATATCAAGTGCTTCACTTTTATTCTTCATTAAGTATACATAAGTATAATCAGAACAATCATCAATAAAGGTGATAAAATAACGTTTACTGTTCCTAGTCAAAGTTCCATCTAATTCACATATATCAGAGTGTATAAGATCTAGGGGATCAGATTCTCTTAGAATTGATTTATGCGATGTCTTAATTATCTTAGCTTGAGTACAATATTCACATTTATTTGAATCATTGACATTTAGTTTAGGGATCAGGCCTAAGTTGCTTACATTATACGTTATTCGCTTATTAACGTGACAAAGTCTAGCATGCCAAATATTAAAATCACGCAGAAAATAAACAGAAGGACAAATTTTATTCAAATCAACATTTAACTTAAACATGCCATCAGTGGCGTACCCTTTCCCAACAAAAATACCATTCTAAGTGATGGTGTACAAATCTGCCCCTATAGTTTGACTAAACCCAGCCTTATTTAAAAGGAAACCAGAAATAAGATTCTTCCTAATTTCAGGAACGTGCATAACATCCTTCAAGATCAAGGTCTTTCCTGAAGTGAACTTCAGCTCAACATCTCCAATTCCAGCAACATTAGTGGTGTGGGCATCTCCTAACAACACTTTCTTATCTTCAGTATTCATGTATGTCTTAAACATAGCACGATCATTACAAACATGACGAGAGGCGCCAGTGTCTATCCACCATCCATCACTTCCATCAACCATGTTGACTTCAGTGATCATAGCAATGAATTGCTCATCAGTCAGGTTTACCTGTGCATTTGGGTCAGTAGCAAATTTAGGCCTGCTCTTACATTTCTTAGCCATATGACCCAGTTTCCCACAATTGTAGCAAGTGAAAACCGGAGCATCATATCTCTAGTATGGTGGTTGCTGCCTAGGAATTGGAGTATATGGGGCCCTAGAGGGATTCCCATTCTTAATTCGGTTCACAGTATTACAGTTCTGATTCTTTAAAGGTTTGCCCGTAGGCTTTAGAACCGCACCGAATTTCTTTTTGTTGTTTGAAACAACTAAGACTTCATCTTTCTGATCTTGTCTTCGAGCTTCCTCTTCAATTCGAAGGCGGGTAATCAAACTCTCGATTGAAAATTCTTTAGTTTTATGTCGGAGTAGGTTTTTAAAATCTTTCCAACCAGGAGGCAGCTTTGTCAATTATAACAGCAATTTGAAATTGTTCATTGAGGGGCATATCTTCAGTTATGATTTCATGAGCAATCTTCTGTATCTCGTGGCTTTGAGCTTCCACAGACCTTTCATCCACCATTTTGTAATTCAAGTAGCGACTGACAACATATTTTTTTGCACCAGCTTCTTCAGTATCATATTTCTTCTGCAGCCTCCCATATCTCGTGACGTTTTAGAAGTTCCGTCTGATTCCACGGTTGACTTACCATTACTTAGTTCGTTTGATCCAGATGGAGCAACAGAGATATCCTCAGTCAGAACATAGGCAACCTTCTTTAAAGTTAAGAAAAATTTCATCTTAGCTTGCCAACGTTTGAAATTGGAACCCTCAAACTTAAATGGTTTGTCAGAGTCAGAAGCGGCAGCGCTAGTACCGATAATTTCCTCAGTAGTCATGGCAGTTATGAAAACGTCTTAAAATTGTAGAAACCGAATTTTAAAAAATGGCACAAAGGAAAAGTATCGGGACGAGTCGCGTACTAGGTCGCTTTCTTTAAGACGTTTCGTCGTACTGCCAATATTAATGCAAAGCAGTCGAGTTTCGACGACGCCTCCAGGATAAAACAACCCGTTCAATTACGACAATTACTTGCACTATAATTAGTCGTTCGTAAAATGACACCTTCGGATGGTAATTAACCAGTCTTAGTATCTGGATACGAAGTGATCTAGTAGAAAATAAGAGAGAAGAAAATTATAGATGAAGTGAGTGATGAGAGAGAAGAGAGAAGAATTGTAGAAGTAAATTCTTGAACTGCCCAAATGAACCGAAATAACTTAATTTATAAGTGAAAAGGTCCAAATGAATGGGAGAAAATAGTGAGAGAGGTGGAATTGGCCCACTCAGTAACCAGTCAATAATTAGGTTAAGACTTGGTCTTTTGTGCATGACACATCACCATCTATTAATTAATTAATAATAATATTAATATTAATTAATTTCCACTCTTTTGGGACTAAAATGAATCTTTTCAAATTCATATATCAAGATTTCCAACCATTTTTCATCCAAATGGTAACAAGTACAAAAAAAAAAAAACACTAGTATCTGCATCAAAAATCTTGTATGCATCTAAACTTTTCAAAAAATCGGAAATTTTTAATAAGGAAAAAAGCGTAATCGCATCCCCCTTTGAGGGTGAGGTGGCAGGAAGAAACCTCTAAATTATGACTCTCACCCTCGCGGGTTCTTTCAGCACCCCCAAAAAGTTTTCTTCAAATAACAATTTTTTTATAAATTCCAATTCTCATTTTCCTAATGAAAAGCTAGGTAGCATTTTTTTCTCCCCCTCAGTTGAGTGTTTTCTGGATTCGACTGGAAGGGTGTCTCCTACACTTGTTGTTGTGGAGCAGATGATGGTTCCACCATCCTTGCCCCTGGAGGTTTCAGAATTTTGTGGCGCTAGAAACGGAAGATTTATCAGTTTAAGGGTCTCTTGAACTTTGTGGACTCAGGTATCACTCGCCTTATAACTTCTATTGGTTTTTGTTTGCATGATATTGTTCCTCGGTCTATTATCAAGGAAGGCTTGAGTTCACAGGGCTTAGTTTGCCCATTTTTCTGGATGGTACTTCTTTTCCTCATCTTTCTGGATGGTACTAAGTCATTTTTTTACTGAACCTATATAATTCATGGTGTCTTTTCTTATCCCTTAAACTCTTTATTTTCACAATTTATCTTCTACAATTTTATTTTCCGCTGCGTATTTGTAAACCTTTTTCTAAAAATATTTTCAAATTCTGATTTCAATCTAAAAAAGTTTTTCAAATTCAAGTTTTTCTTAAACACACAATTCACCCTTTGTGTGTGGAGTCACGTGTTCAAGAGACCCTTTGACATAAGGGGAATGATGGGTTACTCGTTTTCATTGTTATCTTATGATGTGGAGACATCTCCCACATGTTAAACTCGTGACCTAGCTTGGTTAAACTTAGTTAAGAGGTCTCCCAAGTGTTGAATTTGTGACCTAATTTGCTTAACATTAGTCGAGGTCTCTCCTGCTTCTCACATGTGTGTAAGTGAGTGAGCTGAGTAGTGGGAAGTAATTAAGAATAAACATAACAGTCAACTGCTCCATAAGCATGATGTCTGTATAGGCAAAGTGAAATTTGTTTTGGTTAGTGAATTAATAAAATACTCAAGCAATATAAAAACAAATATGTTCTACCATGCTCTATTCATCTCAATTTCATTTTATTTAGTTGCATTTCGTTATGTTCTAGTGCATCAATCTAAACCAAGCTAAAAGGAATTAAGGATGTGAATTTAAGTGAAGATACATATAACTCCAGTTTGTTCATTCCATTCCTATGTTATATTTCAATGATAATAACAAAAATCAAGGATCAGATTTTTTTAAGTTTCATGCCTAGTTTTCTTTGACATATAACTCCATCTTGATGTATCTAGTGTTTTATGCAAGAGATTGACAATTTTAATTTTGAACTATTAGATGATCAATGCTATTTTATCTTAAATTTCTAGTAACTTTGATCTTTATTTTGTGCATTTTATTTTTCTTTCTTTGTTTTTCTTTGTTTTACAGGTATTTCATGCAAAAAGGAAATGACATGGAAAGTTGGCCACTACTACCCACTGGTAGCATGTACTTTGGTCGTAGTGCAACTGGAATCGACCGCATATTCCATTTTCTCCGATGTATTTTTTGATGGTTTTTCATTTATCAATAGTTACATATGTTCTCTTTTCAATTTTAAGGCCTAATAATGTGAATTAGTCATTACCTTTATGGATTTAGGTCTATATAAAGGCTTGTAACGTTGAGAATTAAACGCCAAGCTTTTTACATACTAGTACTCTTAAGCTTTAGTTAATTTTTCAGCATTTTACTTTCTCAAAGGCTTGTAGCTGTTGTTACTGTCAAAGTCTCCACACAGCAATTATGTACTATTCTTTTTTGCAATTTCAGGTTTCATTTTCTGCTTTATATTATTGATATGTTTGTGTTCATGTTTGTTATCTTGTTTAATCTAATTTTAATATGTTTGTGTTCATATTTGTTATCTTGTTTAATCTAATTTTAATATGTTTGTGTTCATGTTTGTTATCTTGTTTAATCTAATTTTAAGCATGTCTGAGTAGTAGAATCCTTTAGGATTTGGGACATGAGGATTGTCCAAATGACATACCTCATGCAAGTTATATGATTGATGTTATCTAACGAGATTTTTCCTTTTGTTTTAATTTTTCTACTTTAAACAATCAAGTTCGCTACGAAAGTCGGAATGACTTGGATATTGATGATACACTGAAAACGTATAATTAATGTTAGACTTAGAAATTTAGACAATTGACACTAAGACGATGGATGTGTCTCAGGGTCAATTGAGAAGTTATCATTTTAATAGATGTGTTTTTGAAGGTTTCTAAACAAAGGAGGTACGTTACGAAAGCATGTAACTCGTTAGTTTAGAATATAGTAATTTGCGGACGAACGTAGGTATTACCGGTAATTTCTATTATTTTTCTTCAAATAAATTTATTGTCTTAGACATGAATGATCCGTTGGAAATAAGGTCTTTTATGTTTAGAAAAAGTGAATGGGAATATTAGAGGTTTGAATAGAAACTTGATAAGTAGGAAAAAAATTTATGGAGGAGAGTGCTTTGTATTTTTGTTTGATTCAAATGTGTGGGATTACATATCTATTTATACTACTCTAAGGAAAACTCTAGACACACTAATTTTAGAGAGTTCTCAACTCTAGAGATTCAAAGAGTATTTTAGAAAAATATTACAATCATAAGAAATATCTAGACACTCTAAACACTACAAGAATTCTCTAAAAACAATACTCAAAATTATTTAAATCCAACATAACCAAATAATAAAGTTAAGTTCAAATCAAATTTATAATTTCAACATGATCGTCCTGAATTCTTTTTATATAAATCGCTAAAAATAAATTTTAATTATTTGTAACTTAGATAAATATAGAAATAGTGGAATCTGGTAATCAAGTTGTCATTGTGGTTTCTAAAGAGGGTGTGAAGTTTTCCAACAAAGGAGATATTGAAAGTGCAAATATTGTTTGCTGTGGACAAGGTGAGACATTGATTTATGTTTTACCTATTTTCCAACAATAAACTTTTATGTGTTTGGTAGTTGAATCTTTGTTTTATTCATGTTACTGGTAAAGTTGATGCTAATCTACATTTGTACATGTGTATTTGCTGGTTGTGTTGCAGCCTGAGGAAGCTACAGTCATTGAGATGAATGAGCCTGTTGCCTTGCAGTTTGCCCTGAGATACATGAACTCTTTTACAAAGGCAACTCCTCTGTCCAGTTCAGTTACCATTAGTCTCATATATGAAGGACTTGGTTAACCATTGAATGCTTCCATCTTGTGGCCCAGGCTGAAAAGTGAAACAAACAAAAAAGTCAGCATGTTACCACCACATGAACTTTCATTGTTATGTTATCTCAGCATAAATGTAATTTGTTGTTGACAAAGTGAAATAATCTGCAAGAAAAAAAAGAATGTGATTAACCTGTTTCAGGGACACGGGGAATGTAAGTTTTCCGCAGAACATCCTTGCACATATTCCTCCAAGACTGACAAACAGAAGCACAAGCAACTACATGCTTCCGCGAAGGCCAAGTGTTCTCACTCTCCTCTAACCGTCAAAATGACATCAAAACGTAATTCTGAGGTATGCTCGCCCAGCAATTATTTTGAATTACAAGAGGCTGATCATGCAAATCCTGTACCGAACCATGAGATTTTCCTCTATGATGATGACCGGTAAGTTTGACATCAAAACTATGTCTAGATAAGCTCCCAAAACTTGTTGGTTAAATTCAAATCAGTCTTGGGTAAATCAAAAGTCAGATTTTTTTGGACAGTGGAAAATTTATTCCTTAGGGACCTAGACATAGTTATTGTTGTAACTCTTAATATTCTATCATGTGACTCTATATAAATCACATTGTATCTCATTGTAAAAGTTAGTTGGACAAATTTATAAAGAAAGAAGTTCATAGTCCACTCCCATTTCTCCTTAAATTTCTTCAAATTGGTATCAGAGCGCATGGCAAATATGATGAGTCAGATGCCACTGTCACGATTTTCAAAGTCGAACTATGAGAACTGGAGTATCCAGATGAAGGCGCTGGTGGGATCGTTAGATGTATGGGAAGTAACTAACGATGGGTTTGAAGAACCATCAGATACGACGGGAATCACAACTGCTTAGAACAAGGCGTTGAAAGAAACGTGAGCAAAGGATAAAACAGTATTGTACATGCTGTTCAGAGCAGTTGACGAATCAGTTTCTAAAAAGATTGCTGGTTCAACAACATCAAAGGAGGCGTGGGACACGCTCGAAAAAGCTTTCAAAGGAGCAAATAGAGTTAAGCAAGTTCGTTTGCAGACTCTTCGAGAAGAAATGGAGAGAATGAAGATGAAGGAAACATAGCCCGTGTCAGATTACGTCACTCGTGTGCAGACAATGGCAAATCAATTCAATCAAAATGGAGAAGCAATGTCTGATGCTCATATTGTTGAAAAGATTCTGAGATCTTTGACAGATAAGTTTGAAAATATAGTATGCGCAATAGGAAGCAGATGTAGAAAATGAAGGATTTCTGTTAATGACTCAAAAGGAAGCAGAATCAAATGAAGGATTTCTGTTAATGACTCAAAAGGAAGCAAATGCAAAAAATGACACTATGTGGTACCTGAACTCAGGAGTAAACAACCATATGTATGGTCATAAGCACTTGTTCAAAGAAATAAAGAAGATTGATGATGGTCATGTTTCCTTTGGAGATGCGTCGAAAGTAAGGGTCGAAGGAAAAGGAACAATCAGTTTCTTGCAGAAGGATGATTTGATAGGATCTATCCAAGATGTGTACTATGTACCAAACCTCAAAGAAAATACTTTGAGTCCAGGACAACTCACAGAAAAGGGCTATTCGATTCTCATGGAAGATCGAAGCTTGCACTTAAAAGACAAGTCAGGATGTCTGGTTGCTCAAGTCGAAATGGGGAGAAATAGAAATTACAAGTTGAATTTGAGAAGCATTCGAGAAAAGCGTTTGCAAGCCAATGTCGAAGACCAAGCATCCCTGTGGCATCTTCGTTTTGGTCATTTACATCAAGCTGGACTAAGGAGGTTAGCAAAGAAAAATATGGTGCATGGAATGCCAAACGTGGAATTCGAAGGAAAATTCTGTGAAGATTTTGTGTTTGGCAAACAGACGAGAATCTCTTTCCAATCGAAGGCAGAATATCAGGCCAAACAAATTCTGGAATTGATTCACACTGACATATGTGGACTAATTACCCCAAAATCCTTCAGTGGCAAAAAGTATTTTATATCTTCCATTGATGATTTCTCAAGGAAAACTTGGGTGTATTTTTTGAAAGAAAAGTCAGAAGCCTTTGAAGTATTCAAGAAGTTTAAGATAATGATTGAAAAAGCAACAGACAAGCACATTAAATCTCTTCAATCAGACAGAGGTGGGGAGTATACTTTGACAATCTTTATGAAGTACAGTGAAGAACAAGGCATAAGAAGATTTCTGACTGCATCATACTCACCTCAATAAAATGGTGTAGCAGAAAGGAAGAATCGAACATTCCTTGACATGGTTCGATCAATGCTGAAGAGCAAAAACATGTCGAAGGAGTTTTGGGCAGAAGATGTACAGTGTGCAATCTACGTTTAAAATAGATGTCCACATTCGATGTTGGGAGATTTAACACCTCAAGAAGCTTGGAGTGGACAAAAGCCAACTGTGTCTCATTTCAAAGTGTTTGGAAGTGTGGCTTATGCACATGTACCTGATCAAAGAAGAACAAAGCTGGAAGATAAGAGTCAGAAATACATACTCATTGGGTATTGATGAGAAAACGAAAGGTTACAGATTTTCGACCCAATAAAAAAGAAGGTGATAGTAAGTAGAGATGTTCGAATAAATGAAGAAAGCAAGTGAGACTAGAACAACTCCACTGAAGTTGTGGTCAAAGTACCAGATGCTATATCGAAAGACACTTCGATAGAACTAGAAAAATCTGATGATGAAGAAGGACCCTCACAACCCAGGTTGCGAAGCTTACAAGACTTGTATGAAAACACAAAAGAAGTGCATCTTGTATGTTTGTTGACAGACACTGATGATGTCAGTTTCGAAGAAGCAATAAGAAACAAAAATTGGAAGGATACTATGAATGAAGAAATCAAGGACATCGAATGCAATGATACTTGAGAACTAGCAGAGTTATCAAATGAAAGTCAAATAATTGGTGTAAGGTGGGTGTTTAAGAAAAAGATGAATGCACAAGGTGAAATCGAAAGATACAAGGTGCGACTTATGGAGAAAGAATATAGGTAGAAAGCAGGAATCGATTATGATGAAGTCTTCGCACCTGTTACGAGAATGGAGACAATTCAACTGCTCATATCTCAAGCCGCTCAATACAAATGGAAAATACATCAGATGGATGTCAAGTCAACCTTTCAGAATGGCGTGCTCGAAGAATGGGTATATTCAACAGCTGAGAGAATTCCATGGTGGGCACCAACTGATAGTCTGGAAAGGTGAAGCAGTGGTGCTTGGGATCGAAGAACTGAAAGAGTACACTCATCATCTTTTCATCAAAGTTTGAAGTAACCAGGTTGAGAAGTCGACCATGTTTCTTAGT